ACCATACCTGCCAGTTGAAGCTGATGCACTTGTAGATGAGGCCTTGCTTTTCTTGACACTTGATGCAGATGAAGTCTTCCTCTTCCTTTTTTGGGGTACTGCATTATCCACAGCCTCATTTGGTGGGTAAACCATCCCAACAGGTTGTCTAGCAACAACAATGCTTGTCTCTGTGTTGGCTAAAGCTGCTTTCTTCTGCCTCTTCTTTGGGAGACCCCTGCAGGCAACATGAAGCAAAAGTTAGCCAATATTACAATGTGATGAAAGAGCTTGATGAAACAAGTCATGATGTTTACCTTTGCTGTTCCACTACAGCTATGTCTGTTGGATCACCATTTTTACAGGTGTACCAGTGGTGCCCTAACTGATGACATATAGGGCACTCATGCCTCTTTATCTTCTTCCTGCTACCTCCTTCTAGTGCTCTTTTGTGCCTGGTCTTGCTTCTTCTAGCTGTGGACTTCAATAGAGGAGGGTGCATAAAAAATCCATGTGTGGCTTTGGGCCACATGGACTTGTCTGGAATGGATGGGATCACACCTCCATATGCAGCTCTAAACTTCTCAACTAAGTAGCAGTCATCTACATAGTCCTCTAGCTTTGCTCCTGGAATTGAGGTGATGTAGGCAATAGCATGCCTACAAGGTAATCCAGTCCCTTGCCACACTCTGCATACACATGTCCTCTGTCTTAAGTTCACCACAAACCTGAATGCATTGTCACTCCTCCCCTTGGCACATACTTCTGCAACTCCATCACTTTCAGTAATGACATCAATGTCTAAGTTGTAGCTATCCTCCCTCAACTTCTTAACAATGTGAGGTAGGATCTTCCCTTCAAACTTGTTTGTAACTTTTTTCCTCATATTCCATTTAATAAACAACTTCTGCCTAAAAGTATCCAGCAAGTCATCAAGGTGGTTGCCTTTGTCTTTCTTTATCCACTTGTTGAAGGACTCTGCCAAGTTGTTTGTTACATAGTCAACCTTGCTGCCAAATAGGTACTGGCTCCTAGCCCACAACTTCTTGTGAGTCTATAACAGATACTTCATAGCCTCTGGTTTGGCTTTAGCCATTGCATTATAATGGATGTCAAACTAGTACTCAGACCAAGAATAAGAAGTCGCCCAAAGATGATCATCAAAATTTTGCCATTGTATCTCTTCTTAAAATTGCAGCAAAGGTGGTACATGCACTCTCTATGTTCTCGCTTCCGGAAAAACTCTCATCTTGACCCCATGCATCATCGTCATCCCACGGTCTATGCTTATGCAGAGACCATCCGGGGTGCCTATTGCTTCTTTCACCTCTCCATAAACCACACCCAGCCTTCTCATTGGTTTCAATCTATGACACCTACAAAGAACTGGATACATCCAGCTTGTGCCCATCAACTGCACATGCTATGCACAACCGCCCCCTGAACCTACCATACAAGAAAGTGCTATCTATTGCCAAATAGGGCCTACAACCACTAAGGAATCCATCAACACAAGCCTTCATTGAAAAAAGCCATTGAACCCGATCTTGTTGTTTATTATGTGGTTATCAATCACAACCATTGACCCAGACTCTCACTCTCTCTCATGCCTTGAATCAGCATAAGTTGTCAAAACTCTTGTCCCATGGCCCATAAAGCTTGTCCATAGCAAGGTTCTTACCATAGTACACTCTCATGTAGGGCATCTCCACTTTGAAATGATCCTTGAGTTTCTTAATCAACTCAAGTAGTACCCAAAGTCCTATCTTCTTTCCGCTACCAATAACTCTCTCACAAACTCAATACTTGGTGCAAAATATAGGAACACCAAATCTTCTCGCTCTCGACATTCATGGATAGATGGATTCTTCTTAACTCCGCCAATGAAAACAACATGCAAACATCAATGAAAACACCAAGTTTGAATATATAACAATAGAAGCACCAATTAGAACTTAGAAGAGGAAATCACCTGAATTGTTTTGCCATCCCTCATGGTTGATGCATGGATTCTCCAAGGGAAACCTTTATTCCTCCAGAGGCAGTACACTTGGTACCTTCCTATATCACTCTTCCGAATGAAATATCGATTCTCTTCTATTGCAAAGATGAGTAGCTAAAGCCATCTTAAATTCAAACATGTCCGGATACATGCTTCCAACACACATGGGGGTTCTTTTGTCATACTCAAGAGGTGCCATGTAGTCGTGCTCATGGTCCTTAACCATTTCATCCGCCTCATCGGGTCCATTTCAGGATCAAACTCATCATCGACCCTGAACTAGCATCACTCTCGGCCAGATTCAAATTGGCTTTGGACTATCACTCTCGCCAGATTCACCGCTTTGGACTTGGACACCTTTCAAAGGTGGTGGCGCTTGGATCCGATCTTCGAGGTGTTGGTTGCTGTGGCTTTGGAGGTGGTGGAAGGTCAAGATACAAACCTTCATCATCAACACCCATATGCTCATTCTCTGGGTTTGGGTTTGCCAGAATGTCATCATCTGCACATGCTATGCTCTGTGTCTGGGTTGATTCTGCAATGCTAGGATGTGCATTGGAAGGACAGGCAATGGAAGGAGTGGCAATGGAAGGAGTGGCCATTGAAGGAGTGATGGGTGGTTCAATAGATTGCTCAGTAATTGGATCCCAAGAAGGGATGACAGGAGGCACAATGTTGGGTTTATAGTAGGCTAAACTCATCCAACAACACTTGGAAGCTTTATTTTTGGCAAACATTTTAACTAAGTCATGGTCATTGGTGAGGGGGATGTTCATCTTTGTGTCATGGCACCAGTAAAACACAATGTAAGTATCCCCATAGCTCCTAGGATACTTATCCAAAATACCTTCAACCACATTTCTGTAGTTTGCACGATCAGCATCCACAACTTCACTCACGCCATACCACTTCCCCCCACGCATATTTTTAGTAATAATCCAAAATTCTAGATTGTAGCTACTAATTGGGTCCATCCTACATATGAACAACAACAATCACAAAGGGGGAAACAAACTAGCAAGAGCAAGCAACAACAATCCTAGCTCTCCACAATCACCACGAACAAGCAAGCGAAGGAGAAGAGGAACTCACCCGTCTCGAAACCATGAAGGGCGCTCGGCTGCCGCCATGTTCGCCGCCATGCGCCGCCAATCCAGGCTGCCCACGGTACCTCCCTTGCTCCACTATCCCATGCCCTGCCGCAACCAGGGATGGGATTCTTGTCTCCCCTCAGCCGCCGCAGCCCGCTGACGCTCAGTCGCCCGACGCCACCGCCCACAATCGCTGCTAGGGTTTGGGTTTCGGTGATGGGATAGAGGAGGGAGCGGAGGAGTCGAGCGGAGGGAGTGGAGGAGTCGAGCCAGATGAGGAGAGTGAGAGCGGTCAATACCGGTCAACACGGCCTCCACCTCTAATTCCAACGGCAAGGGGCAACTGAGGTCATTTGCCACAGCGGACCCCACTCGTCAGGACAGCCAAACGGCGCAAATCAAACAGAAGGCGGACAGAATGGAGTGAGAGAGAAAAGTTTTTCGAGCTTGGACACTGACGATAGATCGAACTTTTTAGGGACATAGACGATTAGACCATCCTTTTTAATGGCATACAAGTAAAAGACCCTATTTTTTTAGCCAGATCAGTGTTTTCCTCTCACAACAAATTAGTCGGAATAGTGTTTTGGCTTATTTTTTTAGCAAAGCGAACGGGGCTACTGTCTTACTTTTTCCGTTCCAAATTACAAGTTATTTTAACTTTTTTGAAAGTTAAAGCATTTTAAGTTTGATCAAACCTATAGGGAGATTATAAAAATTTGTGACGTCAAATTGTTACACTATGAAAATCTATGGTTAATGAAGAATCTAATGATACCTATTTGGTATCATAAATATTATTATTTTATTATATAAATTTGGTTAAATTTGAGATGTTTTGAGTCTCAAAAAAAAAGTTAAAATGACTTATAATTTGAGATGGAGGAAGTACTACCTAGTGTAATCTAAACGTATTTAATGATAAGTGGAGCTTTTTATAAAAAGTAATTTTATAATTATTCTAAGACTATATTTTTTGAGTGGAATTATTTTAAGACTATATGAGCATGGGATACTTTCACAAATCACAAGGACCCTTTCGCATATCTCTTCATCATGGGCCCTTGTGCGCGGGAATTTTTTTTAGAAAACGAGGTTTCCCTCGCTTTACTGAGCATAAAGCGTTTAAAGATTCATTACAGCAAAGGCGTATTTGTGCGCCCTCCCCAAAACAAAGCCCTAAAGGATCCCACGATCAAACAAGATCGGTTCACACATAACAGGTTCAGCCAGACTCAAATCAGAATTTAGAAGAATCACACCGCCGGGGCCCAAATCCGAAACCCGAGATCCCAATGTCGGTGAACTTGATTGATGCCAACTGATTTTTGGCGGCTGGGACGCTTTCATCTCCATCAGTTGAAACACCTGCTCCAGCTTTTTCTCCAGCACTTCCGAGAACGTCGACTTCCACCTCCTCAGCGTCTTGGCGATCCAGAGAACCAACTCCTTCAAACCTGTCCACACACCTCCCTAAAAACAAATCTTATTACGAAGTTTCCAGAAGCACTATAAAGCAGCTGCAAGAACAGCATTTGTTAACAAATGCTTCTTATTTGCAATCCACAGGGAGGCCACAAATTCATAGGACCAGTCACCATTCAGGTCAAGACATTCAGCTAAACAGTTCAAAGGACTTTAGCTACACAGCGGCCAAAGAACAAATGTGTAATAGACTTGCTTCATCACAAAAAATATAAGTTTTATCCTCCACATGCCTTCTTTTAGACAAATTATCTCTAGTAAGTAGTTTGTTTTTAGATAACATCCAAAGGAAGATTTGCAACCTATGTGGGATTTTCAGTTTCCAAACATTATGCACAAAAACATTATGCGCGGGGAAAATCAATTCGTAGTGCATCGCCAAAAGGAAAATCGAGACGTCCAGACCCATAGGGCAGAGTAGGTAGCTTTAGCTAGCGGCAGCTATGGATGGCCACCGCGACAAGGAGGTCGCCGCCTCGCCGCTCCTCGCGGCGCCCACGCAGGCGGCGGGCGGAAGGCGACGAAGCCACGCCGCCGACGTGCACATCCTCTGCACGGCCTTCCTCTTCGTCTTCTCGGCCTACAGCGCCGCCCAGAACCTCGAGAGCACAGTCAACACGGTACACTACGGGTGCGTTTAGTTTCCAAACTCCCAACTTTGGCACTATGCAAAAAGAAGATTCCCCGTCACATCAAACTTGCGGTACATGTATGGAGTACTAAATGTAGATGAAATCAAAAACTAATTGCACAGTTTAGTTGAACTTTACGAGACGAATCTTTTGAACCTAATTAGTCAATGTTTGGATAATAATTTACAAATACAAACGAAATTACTACAATGTTTACCGTCACATCAAACACTGGCCGAACTAAACAAGGGCTACGCCGCCCTCTGCTTTCCTTCTGTTCCCCTCTCTGTCTCATCACTCTGTCGTCGCGCAGGAGGGCGACCTGGGCACGGTCTCGCTGGGGATTCTCTACACCTCCTTCACGCTCTTCTCGGTGGTCGCGTCGCCGGTGGTGACGCGGCTGGGACCCAAGCGCGCGCTCGTCGTCGGCACCAGCGGCTACGTGCTCTTCATCCTCGCTAACCACTTCCCGTCATGGTGCGTCCATCTTGGTTTAGATGCCTGGAGCTTGTTCGATAAAACTTCCTAGCTTGGGAAGTTCAGGAATGAATGCTGATTCAGCATCTATCTGACACTGTTCATGTTCAGCAGAGGATGCACAATTCAGATCAGTGAAAGGATTGGAACATAGAGTCAGAGGGTGTCTGTTTCTCATCCTAAATTTAGTCGCTGTCCCATCGGATGTTTTGACACATACATGGAGTATTAAATATAGACTAATTGCGAAACTAATTACACAGCTTGCGACTAATTTCGAGACGAATCTTTTAAGCCTAATTAGTCCATGATTTGACAATGTAGTGCTACAGTAAATATTTGCCAATGACGGATTAATTAGGCTTAATAAATTCGTCTCGTGGAGTACTAACGGATTCTGTAATTTATTTTTTTATTAGTATCCAAACACCCCATGTAACACCCTCACATGACACCTCCTAAATTTTAGTCACAGAATCCGAACACCACCTTAGTGTATGAGTTAGATTCCCACCATTCTGCATGCTATGCAGCCCCCTCTGGCCAATAATGAAATTGGGAACAAACTCAGGAAGCAGGTTCTTTTTGATGTTACTAAGTCGTTAAGATTAACAAAAATGTGTTCCAATTCAGTATGTATTGCAGTTTGTGACTGACAGGCCTTAAGAATTGTTCAGTGATATGCTACTGAACAATCTACCAGGGATTTCCATTTTCTTTGATGCACGCAACTTATTTACTAGGGTAGATTTTGTCCTAGGATGTACTTGCTTATCTAGTGGGTGTTTCGGCCGTGTGAAATAATTTAGAATACTGCCTTTCCTGTAACATTGTCTACAATACAAAATTGTCAGGTACACAATGGTGCCTGCTTCATTGTACCTTGGTTTTTGTGCATCCATCATTTGGGTTGGGCAGGTAGCTGTTCTATTTTTCCTTGAACTATATATTTTGTTCTATCGCCCTGTTCGCTTGGTCGTAAACAATCGTAAATTTTCAGCTAGAATATTATTTTTCTCTCACACAAAACCAGCCAGCAGTAATAATCCACGATCGTATACGATCGTTTCAATCTCAGCCAAACAGGCTGCATAGTTCCATGTTAGTCTATCCGTCTCATATACCTATCCACACTGCAGGGTACATATCTAACATCAGCTGCCCTTAGTCATGCAAGAGACAATAATTTACCTGAGGGTCCGACTTTGGGGAAATTTAATGGAGAGTTTTGGGGAATTTTTGCTAGCACGCAGGTACAGTTCTAAGAGCTATTCTTAGTTGAAACACACCAGGAGAGATTCAAGTAATTGTTCTTCACAACATAACTACAGCGCGTTTTTCTTTCTGTACTCATGTCTTATATAGTACAACATTTTTTTTGTACTGCATTTGAATCATGTAGGTACTTGGAAATTTGCTCTCGCTTGCTCTACTGAGAAACGGAAAGGTTAGTCCCTATTAGACAATTCCAAAGTGTCAATTTCTTTTCTTTTTTAATGGAAAAGAACATATAATAAGGGCAAACATGATTCGATTGTTCTAAATATCACGTGAACTTCTCCTGCGTATTCTTAGTATGTGGTGACGGTGGTGTGGTGTATTTCTAAGGGTTCTCACACCCTTTCCTCTTCTTCAATATAATAATACACAGCTCTCTTGCTTGAATATATACCACATGAAATTGATATTTCTTAATTGGCACCTTGACAAATATTGTGAAACAGAGGGATTGCTAGTCATGCAAATGGATCGGTGCTTACTATTGTTTTCCCCCTGAATTTTTTTATTAACTTCTATTTGCCACTTCGGCTGCTTTTGTGATATATATTTACATTTAAATTGTCAATTTTTCCTGATCCTTTGATTCTCTCATGACTTCAGGATGGGGGAAGTGTCATGGGGAAAAATATGTTATTTGTTGTATTTCTTGGCTGCATGATCGTGGGCATTGTATTAATGTGTTTTCTCTCCAAAAGAGAGGATAAAGGAAATAATGATCCGGTCCACTCCTCGTTTGGAGCAATGTTGAAGTATATTGTTGCCCCTCTCAAGGACCAAAGGATTCTTCTTATTATCCCTCTTATGGTATATATAGGTCTGCAAAATGTGTTTGTCTGGTGAGTCACCAATTTTGTTATCAACATTGGTTGTTGTTGTCTTTCTTACTATGTTATTCTTTAAAGAAAATACCATGGGTTCTTCTGAAGGGCTGTATTCACAGAGAGTATTGTAAAACCTGTCCTTGGCATATCTGGAGTTGGTGGGGTTATGGCAATCTATGGTGCTGAAGATGCAATTGTAGGTGAAATAACAATGCCGATTACTGAATTAGTTATCTTATCCTCCCATCCGCCAAAATGTTAAGAAATATTGTAAATTCCTCGTACCATTTCTTGATGTACTCCTTATTTCTGTTTTCATTTGCCAAGACTCATGATGTGGCTATTATAGCCAGGAATTGTTGAAGACTTGAAGTGCATTAGTGACTAGTCACACTAGCAACTGCTACATATATCTTATTCTACAGTTATCTAAAACCTAAAACCTCACATTCTAAATCAATAAAGAAATCCCTCTGCATGTTTTTAGCTGACCGTTGGAACATGACTGACATTTCAGTGTGCATTGGTTACTGGATGTTTGACCTCCGGTCTTTATTCGGCTACATTCTTTGTGTCGTTTGGAACTGTTGTCCAGGGGGTAGTCCTATTTCTGGTTGCTTCTTTTTTACAGGTCTGATTTCTTTATAATGTTATGGTGCACCTGTGCTTGTCACTGCTATTTTGGTGCACTCATCGTTGTCATGCTGCAGGCCAACTGTTGGAGTGCTTAGCTGAAAGCTCTAGTTTGGTTTCGGTGAATTGATGAAACCCTAAGTGCTAACCTAGTTTATCAAGTGATCATGAGATAGGTAGCACATTTTAAGTGGTAAAACAAATGAAGATCATGATATGATGATGGTGATGCTATGGTGATGATCAAGTACTTGGACTTGAAAAAAAGAAAGAGAAAAACAAAAGGCTCAAGGCAAAGATATAAATGGTAGGAGCCATTTTGTTTTGGTGATCAAGACACTTAGTGAGTGTGATCACATTTAGGATCGATAGCCGTACTTTTAAGAGGAGTGAAACTTGTATTGAAATGCGGTTATCAAAGTGCCACTAGATGCTCTAACTCATTGCATATGTATTTAGGATCCAGTGGAGTGCTAACACCCTTGAAAATATTTGTAAAAATATGCTAACACATGTGCACAAGGTGATATACTTGGTGGTTGGCACACTTGAGCAAGGGTAAAGAAGATAGAGGTGAAAAAGAGTTAGTCTCGCTGGTTATATAGTGACCGGACGCTGGGTCACTCAACGACCGGACGCTGGATGGCTGCGTCCGGTCTTGCTGTCGAGCAGCGCACAAAATCATTGCCGAGTGACCGGACGCTGGATGTGTCCGATCAAGGGTGACCGGACGCGTCCGGTCGAGAAAAGTCGTCTCTGGATGCTTGCTGGAAACGACCGGACGCTGGGGGTTCAGCATCTGGTCGCTTTGAGCTGCAGCGTCCGGTCATCATATGACTGTTGTGATCGGGCGCTCAGCATTTGAAGAGAAGGGGACACGTGGCACACATCACGTGACCGGTCAATATGATCGGAGCGTCCGGTCACCCCGCGTTGTGCCCAGTGAAGGGGTACAACGACTCTATTTCGTGGGGGCTTCTATTTAAGCCCCATGGCCGGCTCAAGCCCACTCTCTTGGCCATTTGCATTGACATAGCAATCTTATGAGCTTAGCCAAAGCCCTCCCACCCATCTCCATCATTGATTCATCATTATTGTGAGATTGGGAGAGAATCCAAGTGCATTGCTTGAGTGGTTGCATCTAGAGGCACTTAGTGTTAGTGTTTTGTGTGGGATTCGTTTGTTGCTCTTGGTGGTTGCCACCACCTAGACGGCTCGGTGCAGCGGAGGAGGATTGGCACGAGTCGGTGATTGTTCGTGGCCATCTCCAGTGATTGTGAGGGGATTTGTACCTTCCCCGACGGAGCGCCGAAAGGTAACTCTAGTAGATTGCTTGTGTCATTGAGTTACCTCACTTGTGGGTAGGTTCTTGCGATGTCCAATTGTGTGGACGAGGTTCGTGCAACACCTCTTAGCCGCCGAACCACCAAGTGTTGGTCGACACAACGGGGACGTAGCGTGTTGGTAAGCACATGAACCTCGGGAGAAAATTGGTTGTCTCTTGCCTTTTGGTATTCTCCCGGTGATTGATAAAGTATTCATCTTGTGATTGGTTCACTCCTCTACACGGCGGTATAATCACCCTACTCACTCATTTATATTCTTGCAAACTAGTTATGGCAAGCTCTTTAGTGTAATTAGAATTGAGAGCTTACTTTGTTATTTTAAGTTCATCTAGTGGAGCTCTTTAGAGTAGCAAATTTGAGAGCTCTTAGTGAGTGGTAACATTGCAAGTTGTGTGCCTAGTAATCATTGCAACTAGAATTGTTGGATAGGTGGCTTGCAATCCTTGTAGAGCTAGAGCAAATTTACATTTCGCTATTTGTCATACTAATCAAATTAGTCTAGTTGATTTGTAGATTTTTAAATAGGCTATTCACCCCTCTCTAGCCATATTAGGACCTTTCAAGTGGTTTTAGAGCCATAGTCACCGTTTGATTAAAAGCTTAACAACCTCGGTGTCAAATTATGGCTCAAGTTGTGTTCAACCATGTGAGGGGCAAACCACCATTCTTTGATGGCACATGCTATGATTATTGGAAGAGAAAGATGAGGATGTATCTTGGTTCAATCAATGATCAAGTATGGGATGTGACCGAGAATGACTATGCTATCATTGATCCCGACAATCCTACCAACCTAGACAAGACCAACAAGCAATGCAATATAATGGTGTCGACACAGAATTTTCGTCTCCGTGCCGAGGACACACGCAGCAAGCCGGAAGGGTCCGCTCGATGGAGCAGATCTACCTAACTTCAACGCAAGGGTGGTCGATCCTACGCAATCCTCCTGAGACGTGCCAGTCAATTTGACCCTGCAATTGATAAGGAGAGAAAGTTTATTAGTAATTAAGGGCGGAACATGCCGGTGTTGCCAGACAGTCCCGAATGTGCGGCTCTGAGAGCCGATATGAGAGGAGATCGACTAAATAGTCGATTCCAGCATATTCATGAGAATAAATCGGTTAAAGCTCATGGGGTTGTATAAGAAGAATCGGTTATCATCCAGGATAAATATAAATTCGAGCAAAAATTAATCAATAGCAAATAAGATATCCATGATGATCGGTTTAAACTGAGCCAATGATTACAAGTAACCAAACCCCTTTTATATAAAGAAACAATTCAACACCACTTAACCATTTAATAAAGATGAATCTAATGAACATGTTAGATCTCATCTATCGCCATGACCAGTGGGGCATGAGGCAGAATCATGTAGGTCGTAGAAACAACAATAGACTCGACGACCCTAACTCATTACTAATATCAGTGGGGCATGAGGCAGAATCATGCAGGCTGTAATACAATAACAAGATCATGGGGCTAACATATCTTTCAACTTATCTCTACTTCAATGATCTCATAATGTGAACTGTTCGTGAGAGCGCTCGATATCGGCTAAACAGCCGATTCAGGCATAGCGCACAGTTAAGGTCATGCCTTCTCAGGAACGGATCTATCAACTAACGATCCCCACTCCACGGTGCTAACAGTGGGGTGAGAGGCAGAATCCCATAGGTCATGATAACGAGCCATGGAACGGTTCTCGCTAACCAATAGATCTACTCAAGATCGAACATGCCTTAACCGCACACTATGCACGATTAAGATTGATATAAAAACAGCCGATAAAAACATAACTCATCGTTTAAAACGTAGATTAGATCAGTTTTAGATTAGCAAACGATGGGTTTAATAAGATATAAGGCCGATCCAGATCAATCTCAATCGGGCAGAGTGATATTGTTGTAATTAAATAAACAATAAAAGCAATAAGCAATATCGGTAACTTAATGAATCTACCAAAGACTGCCATTCAAATGTAGAGCCGATAACTTGACCTTGATCTAGTTCAAGCAATGGGGTGTGAGGCAGAATCACACAGACCATACTTGAACTAGGCAAGAGTCGATAACTAGCCTATACCAGAGTCGCAGTGGGGGTCTACCGGATCGATACAGCCATATGAACAGAGGTATAAACCATGACGGTACTTACAGACAAGCAGTGGAGGTCGACCGGATCGATGCAGCCGTACTTGCTGAAGAACTCGCTGAGATCTACTCTACTCCTACTCCTAAGGGGTGGCCAAAGCCGAAAAAAGTAAATTGACTTGTATTTGGTTGATTGGTTCCCTTTTACAATAGCCGAGGCTTGATATTTATACCTGGGGTCTAAACATGAATCCTACCCGATCACAATTCGCT